TCTGTTGCCCATCCCCCAGAGAGGAGGTTATATGTAGATCCTTGTGATTGATTCCCCCTTTCTACCCACCCTTCCCTCCCGGTATCGCCACTCTCACCACTGGTCCTGAGGGGTTCATCTGTCCTAGATTCCCCGCGTTTCCAGTTCCCATCTGTACCGCTGTGCATCCTCTGGTCTAACCAGGTTTGCAAGGTAGAATTGGTATCATGATAGTTGGGAAGAGGAAGCATTTAAGAACTAGAGGAAGGTTGTGAGTTTCATTATTGCTATACTGAACCCTGACTGACTCATCTCTTCTCCACTACCCCTCTGCAAGGGATGTCCAGTTGTCTACAGATGGGCATTGGATCCCCATCACGCGCCACCCTTGTTTGGTCTTTATGGGTAAGTGCCTCAAGTGCTCTGAACTTTCAGCAAATTACGTTATGTCTTCTGCATATCATAAGTTGTTAACGAGCCTTCCTCCAATCCTGATGCTGAATTGTTCCTGTAGACACGTTTTTCAGAGTATTTGCTCAGGGTACAGATGGAAGATAAGTGTAGCAAAAGGACACAACCCTGATGCACACCTCTCCTGATTTTAAACCATGCAGTATTCCCATGGTCTGTGTACATGAGATATTTTCCTGATTCTGAAAATGTACTCAACTGTGTAGATCATAACACCTTATGGATGGCATTACAAAGAATGGAAATTCCAGAGTAGTTAACTGTGCTCATGTAAAACTTGTACACAGATCAAGAAACAGTCACTCAAAGAGAACAAAAGGATAATGTGTGGTAATTTCAAAAACCTGATGTGCATGTAGAAGCTGGACAAATCTGTCATGAAAGAAATACAGCCAGAATGCTCCTTAGGAGGATGGTGAGCTTTCATCTCACATACTTCAGACATATGTGAGACGGGACAAGTCCTTAGAGGACAGAGTGATTGGGTGATGGTCAGCAGAAAAAAAAAAGTAGCTGGATTGACACAATGGCTGACTCAAATTTAGCAACAATTGTGAGGACTGGGCAGTGTTTCATTACTTTTTACAAACTATCACTATGAGTCAGATCTGACTCAAAGGCACCCCACAACAACATTGTTAAAGAGAATCCTTATACGGGCAACTGTTATCAGTGTCCAGTGAAATTACTTTTAACTTGTAACTATAAGGAAAATAATCTTTTAAAAGTCATTGTTTTAACGTAATGCCTGTAACAACAACCTTGTGACAATGATAACAGAAGAGCTTAGTTTCTCGATCATATAACCCACTGCTGTTGAATCACCATCACATTACCCACTGCTGTTGAATCACCATCACATAACCCACTGCTGTTGAATCTGTTCCTGCTCATAGAAACTGTAAAGGATGGAGTAGAGCGGCTCTGTGGGCTTTCTGAGGTTTTACATCTTTAAGGAAGCAGAATGCATACTCCTATGTGCCTTTAATTACATTAGAATGGATTAATAAAGATAATGCTTCAATATCAGTAACAAGACCAGATTCCTAAGGAGTATCAAGAAATGCCTTTCCTGTTGCCTAAGTAATTTTTATGTAGACCAGAAAATGGATTCATCATAATTATGGTCATTTTACATCAAATGCTCCACATACCTGAACCATGACCTACAGGAATTAAATAAGCTACTATGTGTAGAGTGAGTTTGCAAATGTTTCTAAAAGGATACTCTTTTAATGTTCCTACCTTCTTCACTAAGGTTCCTAAAGCCAGGCAAACTCTGCTTCCTCTCAATGATTGCATTCAGAAGGTAAACTAGAAGTTGCCATCTGCTGAGAAAGGTGGATTCCACCACTGTTGTGGAAGGTGTTAATTGAGTATTTTGGAACATGAGAATTGAACATTTAATAGCCTTAAGAATAGAAATGCTGGCAGCAAATCCTTTAAAAAAATTATCTCTAGTGGCCCCCCTTCATTATAGAGCTAAGACCTAAAATTCTGTCCGCACACAAATGAGAGGACTATTTAATCACTTCAAATCCAGGAAGGTGTCTGTGGGTGCTCCATGAATAAATCTGCTGTGCTCTTACTATAGAAATGGCTTCCTGGCCCCTTTTGGTCTGCTTAATGCATTACCTAGTCTTACCTTCAGAACCTTCTTTAAACGTCGCTCTCCTTCTGAATGCCTTAATTACATCTCTGCTCATCTAGGTTATTTTAATATATTTTTCAATAGATTTAAGTACAATCAGCTCCGGTTCTTTTCACATGCAATTCCTTGTATCTCACGGACCAACCATCTCCTAGCACTGAATATATACCATATTATCAAGTGCAGGCTAGGTAAATAAATTAAAAACAAACACACGTAAAGGCACAATTGACCATCTCAATATTTAACTGGACCACATGGATAAAAAATGTTCCCTATGTATACATCAGTAGCCTTTGGGGGTGGGCATGATAAACATTTTACT